ACACCCCTAATTATTTCAAATTTCTCAAAGATGTATATGTTGACTTTTAGCCACATAGCTCAAATCTATTTTATTTGGTACTATAGATACGGTAATGCTTAATCATGTAGTCATTCTTTGTTTAAGTCATGAAATCTCTCCTGATTTCTGGTTTTCCCTTCAATGAGTTGTCGACATTGACGTATTACTGTGGTTTATTTATCTGGTCTATCTAGTTCGAGCAGATTCCATCCGTATTATGAGTATCTCTTAATCGTTCTTACTTATAGAATAATCCTATATATTTCTCAATTTGTGAAGCCATACAAACTATTAGTACTTAGCCTTTTGTTTAAGTTTTTGAGGGCAAATCACCTGAGCTTGATCCTAGAACAATGACATCCAAACGTACTTTCTAAATAATTTCTAACCGCATTAGAGAGATACAACTAGCCATGATGTTTTAACCAAGGAATGGCTGCGGTTAACTTTGCTGCAAACGTTGAGACGGTATGGATATCCCACTTCAAATTGACCATGACTATGAATGATACACATATTAAAACACTACTTCCTACATTTTATCACAATGGCAGTAGTTATGATTTTGCTGGACGACGTAAACGTACTTTTTTTACCGAAATTATCATCTTAAGTTCATAAAACGGAGTGTTGTATAACCTACAATGCCCTTATTTCAATTTGACTCTCGTATTCATTCCACATATTTTTTATTAGTGTTTAGTTACTTAAGCCTCCCGACCGTAGCTGCTACCTAGACGTGGTTGTCGGGCTTGCCTATTGTGATGACCCAACCGAGCTATATTGGCTGGAACATATGTTCCTGTAGGTTCTACCATGCCAGGCAAGTCGATTGGAGAACGGTAAGACTAAAAGCAGCAACTCAAGGTCTGAGGGCGAAGTCGTACTGCTGACTGTAAAGGGGTGTGACAGCAGTAAGGTGTTTCCCTCAGATAACCAGCATCTGCAGCGATGCTGCCTTCCCACAAGGGGGAATGAGGTTAGAAAAGGTCGACCCTAAAAATGTCACACCACCTTACCTCACGGATTTCCGTCTCCGGCGGTAAGGCCCTTTGAAGAACGGAGCTAACTCATTAAAAACCTTCCACGAAAAGGCCGTGCGCGACCGGCCTCAAGCAGTTGTCCCTTGGGCTCTGCAGTCACGCTTCCAGGTCGTTAAGACCAACACTAATCCAATTTCATTTTCAGGTTCCTCAAGAAATACCCTTCCACGGTGTGGGCAGCCGGGAAATGACATCAACCCTAATACCCGTAACAGCACACGAGACCAAGTTGGTCACATTCAAATCCTTCCTACATCTCCTAATACTTCTCTCATCTCCACGAAAAACCTTCTCACGTCCATTTATCACCTCGCACCGCTAGGGCAAACGATTCGAGTACGCGGAACGCTATTCCTGGTTTCCTGAAACCACACTCTAAACTACACGTAGGAGCTTTTAACGTCCGAACAATGTGCCAAATAGGACAGCAGGCTTCCTTAGCTAAGACTTTAGAATCTCGCGCCATCGATGTGTGCTGCGTCTCCGAAACGCGCATACAAGATCCGAGTAGCGTCATTCATTTGACCTCACCATGCCAAAATAAAGAACCGACTAGATTTACGCTTCGTGTATCTGGAAGCCCTGATGCTGCTTCCCGTGGCCTCGCTGGCGTAGGTATAGCACTGAGTCCCAGAGCAGAATTAGCTCTCTTAGAGTGGATCCCAGTAGACAGCCGTTTGTGCGCTGTACGACTGAACGGAACAGTAAGAACCCGGAAAGATAGGGACACTCGTCGTTGCCTCTTCGTCGTCTCTGCCTATTCTCCCACTGACTGCAGCGCAGATGATGTAAAAGATGAGTTTTACAGAAAGCTTCCCGACCTTCTCCGAAAAGCTAAGCGCTCTGATGTAGTAACAGTGGCTAGTGTGACTTTAATGCTCTAGTAGGTAAACTAAGCGAAAGGGAAAGACACCTAGGTGGATCTTATGGTGTCGTGGCTCAAAGAACGGATAATGGCGACCGTCTGTTGCAGCTATGTTCAGATAACCGCCTGTTTCTTACAAATACTAACTTTAAGCATAAGCAAAAACACCTTTTAACATAGCGACTCCCTAATTCGTTCCAACGTTGAACCCAAATAGATCACATCGTTATCAGCCACCAATGGAGGGGCTCGATAGAAGACTGTCGATCATCCTGGAGCACATGCCTAGATTCAGTTCATGTTCTAGTGGGAGCGCATATTTGCATGCATCTTACTAGACGTAGGAAAGACGCTGCAAGGAAACCTCTTAGGGTCCTACTTAATGATAGTCAAGCTAAGAGTACATTTCAGTAACATCTAGGAAAACAGTTAAGCAGCCATGTGTGGTGCCCACCCCGATGCAGCATGGAATGATATCCGAAAAGCTGTGGAAACAGTAGTGATGTCTGCTAGTACGGTAAACCATAAGGTTAGGGACCAACACTGGATCTCAGCAGCATCTATCGCACTGATAGATGCTCGGAAACTCATTCCGTCTGCATCTGAACATAACGAAGAGCGGAGTCAGCTTAAGCGCAAGCTGAAAAGAAGTCTACGCAATGATCGTGAACAGTGGTGGGTAGCGAAAGCAAGAGAGATGGAAAAGGCAGAGGCAGTAGGTAATAGCAGACAATTGTTCAGACTTGTTAGGGAAACCGGCATTAGGAAACCGACTGTTAGCGAAACACTCAGAGAAAGATGGACATATTATACATTCTCAATCCAGGAGGTTGGATCGATAGGTAGAACACTTTAGGGATCGATTCAACTGGCCTTCAGTCACACTTCGGTTTCCCACGATCTCTAGTCTACCTGAATGGCAAGTTAATGTAGGTCCTCTGACTCTACGAAGTTGAAAAGGCTATAGGAAATCTGAAGCGAGAGAAAGCAGCAGGTCCTAACAAGTTTACTCCTGAGATTTTTAAGGATGGTGGTCCAGTATTAGCAGTGAAATTAACCGAGGTCTTTGGTACTGGAAGTGATCACATCTGACTAGTCTCAATCACTGATTGTGCCAGTCTGTAAGAAAGGACAAAAGTCCTCTTGTGACAATCACAGAGGGATCAGTTTGACTAATATTAGCTTCAATAATACTTCGACGCCTAACCAAAGCTCGTGAAGAACAGACTAGAGAAAATCAGGCTGGTTTTCGACCTGGACGTGGTTGTATAGACCAGATATTTAAACTACGTCAGGTTCTAGAACACACACATTCAGACGCCCCACAATCGTATTATTTTTCGACCTTAAGGTAGCATTCGACTCTGTTGATCGTAAGGTTCTATGGCAGTGGTTGTCACTGAAAGGAGTAGCAAAGAAGTACATTAACCTTATTCAGGCTCTCTACCCGAACACAACTGGTAGTGTGAGAGCTTATGGCGAACTGTCATCAGAATTGATTACCTCAAGTGGTGTTCGTCAGGGCTGTCCACTCTCTCCATTCTTGTTTAACTTCGTCGTTGACGTGCTTTTAGAGATAACACTTTCCTCATCTAAATTTCCAGGGGTTGAACCTCTACCGGGAGTTTCACTTTTGACCTAGAATATGCCGACGACAGTTCTATTTGATGAAGACGCTGATAAAATGCAGTCTTCTGACCACTCTTAGCAACAATGCAAGCATGTTCGGGATGCGACTCCCCCCTCGAAATGTAAAATGTTGCTTCAGAATTGGGTTGCATTGACACCCGAACTAATAAAAAGGAGTGAAGTAGTTGAGCGTGTCGATCGCTTCTCTTATCTTGGAAGTCTCATCAGCCCTTGTGGTCTGGTGTGTGACAAAATCTCAGCACGGATACAGAAGGCTCCACTAGCTTTTGCCAACTTGCGTCATTTATGGCGTAGGCGAGATATCCGTCTATCAACCAAAGGACGTGTTTACTGTGCAGCAGTTCGTTCCGTCCTACTTTATGGCAGTGAAACATGGCCGGTAAGAGTAGAGGATATTCGTAGGTTACTAGTATTCGATCATAGGTGTCTTCGAAATATTGCTCGTATATCATGGGACAATCGAGTAAGTAATGCAGTTGTTAGGAAACGGGTACTAGGTAAGGATGACAAATCCATTGATGAAGTAGTGAAACTTCATCAGTTGAGATGGCTGGGACACGTACTACGTATGCCCAACAACAAAATGCCTCGACGTGCGATGTTCAGTGGTATAGGAGTAGGTTGGAAGAAAGCTAGGGGTGGCCAGACTAAAACATGGCACAAGTCCATGAAGTCACTGACAAGTAGACTGAGTCATATTGGTAGGTGTAGACTACCTGGTTGGGGACAGCGAGATGATAGCAACCGATGGTTAGAGACCCTGAATGACGTGGCTCAAAATCGTTTGCAATGGCGCAGGTGCATACACTCTTTGTGTTCTTTCAAATTCTAATCTCCCGATTCCTCATTGTCTTTTTTCTCTTCCCAAATTTACTTCACTAGATTTTACTCTTTAATTAACATCTCCAAACTCTAATCTTCCCGATTACTACTTATACTCCCACTAGCTCTACCACTACGGGATTTAAATCGACAACTACATCGCTGTGCTAATGTGGTGTGGCAACTCGAACTGATGTACGTACGTACGAAGTTCTACGTTGTTACTGACTGACTGAGTTACTTAAGCCTAGTGTATTCACCTTGGATTTCGGCAGACAATGAGCTCAAACTAATCGATCGGTGGCCCTTTATTATTACAGAATTTATGAATAAGTTAGGTCGACGAATTTGCAGCATATAGTAGTAGTACTATCACAACTACTAAATAGGTTATCTCACCCAACTTTACCGAGAGATCCACCGCACATCTAACCACAAATAAATAAAAGAACTAACGTCAATTTAATGACGAACACGAAGTATTTATTTACAAAATTCTTACCGACCAGAAAAGTCACGAAATATTATCAATGCAACCAAAAAGAAAAAACATAATCAGTAGAGATCATTTCGTCCATTCCAAGCAAACGAACAAGATCTTAGTTTATAATGTTCGACTTACGACCTGGAAAAAAACAAATAGTATCGAAACGCAAAAGCTGTTTTATCTTTATACAGACCAGAATAAAACAAGGGTAAAATATCCACGGTAACCTAACACCAATATGTACTACGTTTTTATGCTTACATCCAGGTAAAATTAACGACGAAACCAAAAAGCCGTAATATATGTATCAGTACAAGACTCGAATGGATATGAAGCAAAGAAATGTATGGAACCTAAAGGATATTGGTAGTCTCAATACCTAGTAGAAAACTAGTGAAGATGAGTTACATAAACTGAGCTTGAAATATATCTAAACTCTGGTGATAAATAAGTATACAAGCAGGTATGAACATATGCGTATGCAAGATGAGAAAGAATGAAATGATTTACAAACACTAACTTGAAACCAGATCTGGCAAAAAGTTATTTGAAAAACCCTAAAAAGATATATGGTACCATGTAAGCCAATGCAGTACCCTGGGGGAACTTTCCCATAACGAAACAGAAAACTGTAGTTCCTATCTATGTTTCAATGAAATAAAACTCACGATCTAAAGGATTTTGCTAGTACACTAAGCCAGTTAGGCTACAATAAAACAAAACTTGACCAAATATTGGGCGAGAAATGGGACTACTTTCTCTGCCTTGGTCAAACAGTCAAAATACATCTGAAATTCTTTGGGAAATTTAGACCGACTGTAATGGGAGCTTTTCTGAATAAATATTTTGAATCAAGTGGCTGCTGATCATATATTAACCGTGTTTTAACCAAGACAGTTTGAATCAACAGAAATGAGCTGGTTACCCGGCAAGTGCATTTGCTAGTGACAAGGTATCATCAGGTTTATACTTTCATCAATGGGATTCCTGAGAACATACTTGAATGGAATTCACCAAATAGTCCGACCCCCGGTGATATTAGTGAACCTAGGGTTAAATGAGAAGGAAATGTAGCTTGACTTACATAGGAATACTGTCAGGTACAAGACTGGGTTCAGGAGATGCATAGTCCTGAAGAGACAATGGTAGAACAGGGAGAGATATGTGGCATTCTACGTTAACAGGGTCGTCTCTGTTTCTTCAGGAAAATTAACGTAAGGAGAATATTACTGCAGAATTACATTTGTATTTGAAAATCCTCTTCATTCAGAATAGACGCTACCTCGCAGACTATTGAGCATGGCCTAGTCACTACTGAAGCGTACTCAACTGGAAGTGAACTCAGGGGTTCTACTTGCACACAGCATGATGTCAGAGAGATAAAATGATCAGCGTCAGTAAATTTTGGGGGGGCTACGAGAAATTGTTTTCATGTGTGTATGACTACCTATAGCAGAAAAGCTTCGACACCTTCCTTTCATGGGTGACTTTTTCATACATGATACTCGACCATAACTTTTTGACGGTGAAAACTTATCCTGAGTAGTAAACCCATACCTAACCATAACCGTCCGGACCTCAAGTATCCCGCCACGGTCCAAGGACGGAGGTACAAGATGTTTAAACTGGCATGCCTACAACTAACACTACTTTCAATGACCTAAATTTCTATGGTTTCTTACTTCGGTTAACACGAATCCACATATTGTGTTGTATTATGATTCACTATAGTTATTTAATTGCATCACCACAATCTTGTCAGAATTTATCTTAAAATGAAGTGTGTGTGGAACAATATGAAAGCCAAACTCAGCATGATCTCTTCTTCATGTTTAGTCATTAAACAGTAGCAACCAACAATCAGAACGAATAGTTCTGTAAGCCTGCGACACTTGATGCTGACTCCATTAGTTTTACTGAACACACGTAGCTGAAGGCGTTCCGTCACTCATCTGTACCAGATCACAAGTTGTTACGCCGTGTTACACATCCCTTGCAACTGCTAGTCAGCTTGAACTAAACACTTCTTGACATTTCAATAACCTTATAAATATTTCCTCCAACCACTCCATTTCTGGCTTCTGACTTAGTTGTCGAATTCCGATCAAACAATCATCTACGTATATATGTATGCAGTCGACTGGACAATCTAGAATAGCCTCTGCTTTGCTTTTCAGAGGGTGGATTCCTCGAATATCAATAGTGTGTCTGAGAAAATCTAAAAAGTCGTTTCCGATTCGACACTTCTGAGTGTTTACAGTAAATAAAATACGGATGCTGCATATGAGGTCCTTTGTCTAGACATGCTCAAGCTGTCATCTACTTATATGTGTACGTAGTTGAGACCCTGAAAAATATCGTCAATGAATTGCTGGAAGTCTGTGAAGCATATCTCCAAACCGTAAGCCGTGCCCGAAAATTCGTAATATTCGGATGGTGGTAGTGTTAGTGGCCTAAAGAATATCGACTGAAGCAGTGGTAATTTGATAATATGATTTGACCTAAAACAGTTGTACCATTTCTGGTTATAGTCAGGTCGAGAATGTACGCAAGTGGTAACAATCGTATTCAGTCACCGATAGTCACCAGGTAGACGGCGAGCTTTCGAAAGAACAGGTGGTTCTCTTGCTGCGATGTAGTGTGTATTATCCCTAGTTCTTGATGGTAACTTTAGTTGCGTTTGAAATAGTTTGTGTTACTTATTGAGTATCCACTGATAGAATCGTTTGTTCACATGCCAAACATTTACTGGGGACGATATACAGCCAGAAATTGAAGTCCCATAAACAGATAACATAGTATTGTTGTCTACTAACCATCGTTTGCTAGGGTTGATGAGTTAGATATGGTGTTGTAGTGGGTCTATACCACTGACTGACATAGACACACCTGAAAAAACGACAATCCAGTGAATAGGTTTGCGTACACATACGGTTAAACGCTCATTCCATTCATCGTATGTGGCAATCGGTTTCCCATTTGCCTTCAGTAAGTTGAAAACCAGTTCATGCAGATGGTCGTTGGAATTCGTGGAAAGAACGCTTACTTCTGCGCCAATGCCGACTAATTAGCGAACTTTCGCAGTCATCTCAGTGATGGAAAATAGATGGATATGTTCACTGAACACGATCGCCGTTATTGCGGCCTGGCGGGGGAGATCCCCGAAAGGTTTCTTGCGTCGGAAGGCCTGGGGATAGGAAAACTGAAGGGTTTCATGCAATTTCTAAAAGACTTACGATATTTGTTGTGGTACCAATACTAGTCAGGATTATCTGCATCTCGTGAACTAGAGACAGATCCTTTACGTGATGAGGTTCTTGGAGCGTCTACGTTTATCATGAACATCAATATAACAAATGAGAGTGCGACAGAGGTACGCAGCCTCATTTTGTAATCTTTGAGGCTTTTATTTGACAGAATAAACCTCGGCGCTGGGGTCCTATCGATCTCCAGAATCCGATCGGATTCTGGATTTTTTTTTAAACGGGACAGAGACCGCATGCATTTTTAGAGAATGTTTAGATAAGAAGAGTTGTCTAAACAGGGCTTCGCTGAAAGTTCGTGGAGCAATGAACTCTCACATGTGTAGTTACATTTCTGTTATTGAGCCACGTTGCCACTCGATGTTGTGCAAGAGCTGGTTCAACCTTTGTCGGTTCGTTAAGACTCCGCGTTCAAGAACAGCTTTCTTTAAAGTGATATGAGATTCATAACCATTACTAGTGAATATACTAGATGTAGTGTACCCATTAAAATCGCGCAGTAGTTCTCCTAATATTGTGATGTTTTGTGCACATATATCTGTTAAGCCGTGCTCTAGGAAGTCAACTTCTGCGTAGAAGAAACAGGCTTTAATATCACCAGGTCAGAATGGCATACGTTTAAAAATAGGAGGCCAAGGAGTCAATCGCTAAAAAGCTTTGGTGTTTGTTTCGTCATAATGAAGGTAAGGTATAGAAATATGTTGGATAAAATATCCAAAAAATATAAAAACAATTTCAGTTGATATAATGATAAAAACTAACGAATGATACTTAAGGCTTCATAAAGATATAGACTCTCTGTTTATTGTTCGGTGTATCAGATGACATCGGGCTCAACACTAAAGTGCTACAGGTAGTCAGAGTTTGACAACGCTTTAATAATGGAAGTATACCAACTAAGTCAGAAGCCAGAAATGGAGTGGTTGGAGGAAATATTTAGAAGGTTATTGAAATGTCAAGAAGTGTTTAGTTCAAGCTGACTAGCAGTTGCAAGGGATGTGTAACACGGCGTAACAACTTGTGATCTGGTACAGATGAGTGACGGAACGCCTTCAGCTACGTGTGTTCAGTAAAACTAATGGAGTCAGCATCAAGTGTCGCAGACTTACAGAACTATTCGTTTTGATGATCTGTTTACCGCTTTAATGACAGAATATTCTGATATTTGGAATTCCAAACTGAACTGATGTGATTAGCGTAAATACTTGTTCTTTAGAAATTGGGTTTGATGCGTATGCTGTCACGACTAGTTAATTCGTCACTTTTGATTTGAATTTAGACATCAGAGAACCACATGTCAGGATACTTTACAAGAATCTACGATTCCGAACGGTATGATTCAGAAGCGACTTCGAGTTTTATACATTTCGCAGTTAGAGTTGGTTTTCGAAAATGAAAATGAGTCTTTAGCGTGTCGTCGAGTAGAGGTCGACTATGAACACCGCTACAAAAGAACGTGTGCCAAATAAGTCCATAAAATCCTCCAGAAGCCAAATATCACAAGGTAGTTAATGGACCAAGTCGAGTTATATTTGCTGGCGATCTCGTGGTATCGAAAGAATACCGAGATCGTGCCAGGATACAAGCTTGGTTACTGAGCGTAACCGAATTCAAGCGAGGTCACAATCAAAGTGTAAGAATAATCGATGCCTTCCAGCACAGTTAAACACAAGCACATTAAAACAGTCACTGGTACAACCAATTATAGTAATAATTGTTTTCAACAAACCAATCGTGTTCTAGTGATAAAAATGAGTTACTACAAGTCATGTCTGTGACAGGCTGGTCACTCTATTCTGATAAATCACTAAGTCATCTACCTTACATATAAAGGCCTGATTTTAAGGACTCTCAGAACCACTGAAAAGAAGCTGCAAAGAAATACATTTACTATATTTTGAGCATATGAGAGCACGGTAAAGTTAAATTAGTCCACGTAAAGTCGAAGAAGGATTCGTTAATTTCTTAAAGTCTTGAAGTTATGGTATATTAAAAAATCGGGAGTTAGTACATAAGTGAAATATCTCACTTCAAGCTTAGCAAAGGCCTGAATATTGAAACATTGAATCGACAAGCAGCTGCGAGTTTGAATAGCTTATCAATGACAACATCCCAAAAGCATCGCAGTTTTGTTTCAGAACCCATTTCTGAAAAGGTTGTTGAAGAATTACCAGGCATCGGTGAAAAACTTGGAGAAAGACTCAAAGCTAAAGGGTATGACAAAGCGTATGTCGTCCTGGGACAGTTTCTTCTTTTGAGGTGCGAGGAAGAGTTATTCAAGGAATGGCTTTCACAAACATGTGGTGCTAATTCAAAACAGTCCGGAGATTGTTACACTGCCCTTAAAGACTGGTGTAGTTGTTTCATTTTCTAACTAGTTTACACCAAGAATATTATGTAACATTGTTATACGCATCTTATTTTCCTGTACGTACATTTTGTTAATATTTGTTTTAAAAATTTATGCATTGAAGTATCCAGTGCAATATATTGTACTAATATTTTCACCTTTAGATTTTTTAGATGAATAGCGGTAACCAGACTGATCATTGGTTAGTATTTTTGTCGTAATGATTAACTCGTATAGCTGCCCTCATACATCAGTTAGTCCGAACTCGTAGCTTCGTGCATCAAAGTTGCCCGTCATCGCGCATCTACAGAGATGTTTTCGCCGGATCGTAGGCTGATCATGGAATAAAGTATCTTAATGGCCTGTATGAACTAGTATAGATAAATACAGTAGACTCACATATTTTGTCAAAGTGTGGAAACAGTGAGTTTTCCTTGTTACTATTAGTTTTTTAACCTTCAGGTGACGGTTTTATTGCAAACGAGTTAAGAGGATATGGTTGTGGGGTATTGTGTTAAAGTCAGTCATATACAACGTAGAGCTTGACACTTGCGTAGTCTCAAGTTGACACACTGATTGCACATGCGCAAGATTATCAAAACAAATCCCGGAGTGGTAGACGTAGGCACAATGTCAGTAGTGTTAGAAAGGATTAGGCGTAGAAAAAAGGTATCCGGCATCAGGATTCATGTACTAAGGAAAAAGGATAGTGAGTGCACCTGTGCTATCGCAAACGATCCTGAGTTATACAATC